GGACGAAAAGATGCTCAACAGAGCAAGGCTGATATCCAGTTTTGCTCCTCAGCAGCTGTTTTTGATATCAGTGCTGTGGGGTGAAGTTCCCTGTGGCTCCTGGGGAGAGAGATGCAGCCAAGCTGCCTCCCAAGGACCAGGTGCATGGACTGGAGGAAGCCCAGGGAGCGAGATCACCCTGTCCCTGCTTCTGCTCCTTGACAAAAGGGCTTTGCCCTTCTCAGCTGCTGCTCCGAGGAGCCTCAGCCCGGAGCTGGGGTCGCCGGCGGGGAGAGATGAGCATGCTGCCCCCCCTCCCCAGCCCAGCTCAGTAATCCTGTTGTGGCCATGTCCAGAGTTTGCAGGAATGTCATCTGAGTTTATTTCAAGGCTCGTTCCCTGCCAGCTGCAGTCACGCAGCTGAAGGTTGTGACAGAGCTGTGCAGGAGAACGAGGCACGAGGCTGCATCCTGCAGGCTGGCATGGCTGTGGGGTGTGTGGGGGACACCATGCCACCAAATTGGGGGGGTTCTTCTCCACTAGCACCCCATGGTTCCCTGCCTACGGCCCACTGCCCACCCAAGCCCCTCCACAAGGACCTGAGCGTGCTGGAGCCAGAGCCTTTGTGCCCACAGTGGTGCTGGAAGGGCAGCCCCACAGAGGAGGAACAGCCCCCTGAGTACCCTGAGCTGTGCAGGGGAGCTGGGACACAGCTGGGGAACACTGGGGACCCCCAGTTGTGTCCCATCCCCTTCTCTGCGTGGGAACACCTTCTCCTCCCCACGTCCCTTCCAGTGCCTGCACATCCTGCATGCCCCGTCCCTGCCAGATCCAGGCACCAGCCCGGGGGCTGCAGGAGTATTTTTAATTTGGCTGAGCTGACACGGTGCCGGGTGCTCTCTCCCACACGAGACAGGCTCCTCACAGCCTTCCCCCTCCGCCACACACGGCAGGGACTGAGCTGAGCTGTCACCACCTTCGGGTGCGAGGGATGCAGCCGGGCAGCTCCCGTGAGTGCTCCCTCCCCGTTCATTCTGGGGCTGGCACAGCTGGGCTTTGGGGTGCAGAGGGTGAGCAGGGAGCTGCAGGGTGCTGGGCCTTTCCTTGCCCATGCCCTGTGGTGGATGGGCAGGGGTGAGAGGGCTGGTGGGGCAGAACTGGGGGCTGAGCAGGGATGGGCTCCCTGGGGTCAGCAGCTCTGGGAACACCAGCACCTCCGCTTCCCTGAGGGAACAGTGTGCGTCATTTCCCAGAGCCTGACAGGCTTAGAGCAGGGATGGAAGCAAAATCTCATAAATATCTTTGGACTCGGGGATTTAAAATTTTTTTGGGTGATAATATGGCTGGGTTTGTTCTCTTCTGTTCAGCTTCTTATGGATGCAGTAAGAAACTCTCAGGGAACCCTCCCATGATGTGGGGCTGGAGTGCAGAAGGGGTGCTCCCAGTGGGGTGGGGGTCTGCTCTGGCTGCCCGAGGTGTGGGATGCCAGTGGAAACTGGGACTCGCATGGAAACTGTGGCTCATGGCTGCTGCCACCCTCGAGCTGGGGGGATGATGGATGTGCTGGTGCTCTGGGCACCTGCCCACCCAGCTCCTCATCCTCAGGCACGGCACAGTGGGGAAAAACAGCAACGCTGGCTCGAGCCAAGGTGGCTGCTGCTGCGGGGAGGCAAACAGGAGTATCTCCACTGCAGTTGCTTTAGGAAGGACACCTGACATCCGGCAGCTATGTGAGGGCAGAGTGCTCGGCAGGGTCAGGGACATCCTGCAAATGCTGCCCAAAATTCGTGTTAAATTGAGGCTTCCAGCAGGAATGGGAGAAGGGGTCGGTGGTTTGAGCCTTGCCCCTTGCATGGGGCAGGCAGAACAAGCGTGTTCTCCTCTGGAGTCCTCTGGTCCCGTGGATTCCACTGCAGGGGCTCCGTGGAGGGGTCCCCATGGGAAGTGGAGTTGGGGTCGCTGACCTTTGCTGTCCGGGGAACTGGGGAATGGGACGCGGGGATGCTGCAGCCTCCTGCCTAAAAACTCATTAAAAAGGCTCAATCCTCTTTTCTCGCGGCATTAGCACAAGAATAAATCGGGTGTGTTTTCACCCCAGGAGCCGGCTCTGGTTTCACCACCTCCTGCTCTCATTAACCCTGGGCTGACACTTTGGCAAGAATGTCCCCAGAGCAGGAAGAGCCTCTTGCCCCGGGATATGTGGAGGAGCCTCAAGAGAGGAATTAACCGGGGGGCCGCCAGACCCCCCTGGTGCAGAGCCAGCCGGAGCCAGGTACAATGCAGCTCCTAATCCAGGCAAATTCCAGTGTCCCTCCTCATGGCCCAATTCCACACCGGGAGAAGGGCGAGTCTGGGTGGGAGCATCCTTCAGCTCCCAGGCACAGGGTATGTGCTGGGAAACCAGGAGCCAGGTTCCATCAGGGGTCCCACGGGACACTGCTGCCCCTTGGGATTTCAGAGTTCTCAGGAGCCTTGTTTGGGGAGAGCAAAGGTGGCACAAAATACTCTTTCTGGAAGTAGTTGAGAGGCTCTAAATTTCACCTGCATTTATTGCTAAAAGAAAGCTTTTGGGATGTGAGTTAGGGAGCCCTGGGGCAGGGGGCTGTGTTTCTGCCCCAGCCCTGCAGCTATGGAGCAGGAGTGCAGGTAGGCAGGAACACCTTGTGGCATTCCCTAAGGGCTTGGACTTGGATCCTGCTGATCCAAGGTGTGCAAAGGTGGCACAAAATCCTCTTTCTGGAAGTAGTCAAGAGGCTCCATTTATTGCTAAAATGAATCTTTTTGGGATGTGAGGAGCCCCTCTGCTTGTTAAGGAGCCCTGGTACAAGGGGCTGTGTTTCAGCCCCAGCCCTGCAGCTACGGAGCAGGAGTGCAGGTAGGCAGGAACGCCTTGTGGCATTCCCTAAAGGGCTTGGACTTGGATCCTGCCAAACCGTGTCCACTGCTGGGGGGCTGCTCTGCCCACACATTCCGTAAAGGCTTGGACTTGGATCCTGCCAAACCTCCGTGTCCACTGCTGGGGGGCTGCTCTGCCCACAGCTGCTTGCAGAACACTTCCAAACCCCCAAACACCCATCCTGGCTGGCTGCAAACACCCCTGCAGCTCTCCCAGCTCTCAGCTGACAGACCCAGGCTAGATGCCCACCTGATGCCCGCTGCTCCCTGCACCTGGGGGGAAGCGCTCCAGCAGGTGAGCGTGGGCAGGCACAGGGCAAGGCTTGGGGCTCCACAACCCGGGGCTGCTGTGGCCACCATGTCCACTGTCCCTGTGGCCAGGCCACCACATGCACCATCCCCATAGCCTGGCCACCACGTCCACTATCCTCGTGGCCTGGCCACCATGTCCACCATCCCTGTAGCCCAGCCACCACGTCCTCTGCCCCCGTGGCCTGGCCACCACTTCCACTGTCCCCATGGCCTGGCCACCATGTCCTCTGTCCCCCTGGTGGGGCCACCATGTCCTCTGTCCCCATAGCCTGGCCACCAGGTCCACTATCCTCATGGCCCGGCCACCATGTCCATCATCCCTGTAGCCCAGCCACCACGTCCTCTGCCCCCATGGCCTGGCCACCATGTCCACTGTCCCCATGGCTGGACTGCCACATCTGCCATCCCCATGGCCCGGCCACCACGTCCTCTGCCCCCGTGGCCTGGCCACCACTTCCACTGTCCCCATGGCCTGGCCACCATGTCCTCTGTCCCCCTGGTGGGGCCACCATGTCCTCTGTCCCCATAGCCTGGCCACCATGTCCACCATCCCCATGGCCTAGCCACTACATCCTTTGTCCCCCTGGTGAGGCCACCATGTCCCCTGTCCCCCTGGCCGGCCACCATGTCAGCTGTCCCCTGGCCAGGCCACCATGTCCACTATCCCCATGGCCCCGCCACCACGTCTGCTGTCCCTGTAGCCTGGCCACCACATCCCCTGTCGCCCTGGCCGGGCCACCACATCCACCGTCCCTGTGGCCCGGCCACGGCCACTGTCCCCATGGCCTGGCCACCATGTCCTCTGTCCCCCTGGTGGGGCCACCATGTCCTCTGTCCCCATAGCCTGGCCACCATGTCCACCATCCCCATGGCCTAGCCACCACATCCTTTGTCCCCCTGGCCGGCCACCATGTCCCCTGTCCCCCTGGCCGGCCACCATGTCAGCTGTCCCCTGGCCAGGCCACCATGTCCACTATCCCCATGGCCCCGCCACCACGTCTGCTGTCCCTGTAGCCTGGCCACCACATCCCCTGTCGCCCTGGCCGGGCCACCACATCCACCGTCCCTGTGGCCCGGCCACGGCCGCGGGGCCTTCCCCATCCCGGCCACCGCTAGTGGCCACTGCCGCCGTGAGCTGCCGGGAGCATCCGTGAGGCAGACGGTCCCCGCTCGCCGCAAGATGGCTGCTCCCGTGCTCCGGTGAGCGCGGGCGGCCGCCGCAGCCTTTGTTCCCGCAGCCGCCGCGCTCGGGGCCGCGGGGGCTGCGGGGCCGCCTCACAAACGCCCCGCTATTTTTTTAAATTTTATTTTTGGCTTTTGCGTTGCTTGTCTGGGTTTTTTTTTTTTTTTTTTTTTTTTTTGTTTGTTGTTTTGTTTTTTGTTTTGATTTTTTTCCCCCAAATTAGATTATTTTAATTTTTTTTTTTTATATTTAAAATCTGGCAAGTTTGCAAGCCCCCCACCCCAAAGCTTATGGCAGCCTTTCCATGGTACGTATGTAGGGGCGGGCGAGCGGGGTGGGCACGCCGGGCTGGGCGCTGGGGCTGCCCCGCTCATCCTCCCGGGCACGGCGATGCTCCGGGCGCAGGGGCTCGTCCTCCCACAGCGAAATCCCCACCGTGCCCAAACTGAGGAGGGGGAGCGGAGCGCGACCCCCGTGCCGAGCCCCCCGGGCTGCGCAGGGCTGTGCCCCGCGGGCAGCGCGCCGAGGGGCGCTGGGCTGCAGCCGGAGCGCGGCGGGGGCTGCGGGAATGGTGCGGTGGGGAGAGGTGCCACGGAGCTCTGCTCCATCCCAGCCCCCGCCCCGGCCTCGCGCATCCCACACACTAATTGCTGCTCTTTTTTTCTTTTCTTCCCAAGGCAGCAGCTTCTGCTGGAGCAAGTGCTGGTGGGGGTGGGCTGTGGGGATGGTTTGGGAGAGAATGGGGTCAGTGACAGGCAAAGAGCACAGGAATGCTCCCCCTGGGGCCATTGCAGCCCGGCACAGGGATGGATGGGGTCGGAATGGATGGGGTCGCTGTGCCAGGCTGCGGTGCAGGTCACTCCAGGGCCACCTGCCAGCCTTGTCCAGGGCACCTCGTGGGAAGCACTGGCTCTGTGGGGATGGGTGTTTGCAGCACTGGGAGTCGTGGTGGTGTCCTAACTCCTGAAATGTGAGGTTTCCTTCCCCTGCTCCCACAGTGCTGTGGGAATGGCTCTGGTTTGGGGGCTTGTTCTTCAGAAAAACCCCAAATTCCTCATCATGTCTCAGCAAGTCATGTGGACTGATGGTATTCCCCAGTTTTCTTGCTGCTCAGTGTCCACGTTCTTTCTTTTTCCCTCTGCATTTTGGTTCTCCCCTTTCCCCATGCAGCGCTGGGTTCTTCCCCCTTCTTTCACCAACACTTTTATCAAGGCTCAGTTTGGATTTTCAGTCTGGTTCATGGAGAAATGTGAGTTCAGACTCAGCGGGCCTGAAGTGTAGGGAGGAGCTCAAGTGTATGCTTAAACCCTTCAGATCCTGGTTTGGTTTAAGTGCTTTGCAGCCTCTAGCTCAGTAGGCATTTGGGAGCTTGGCCTGGAGTGCATCCAGTGTGTCACCCCCAGGGAGGGACACTGGGATGCCACTGAGTGTGGAGAGCATGGCTCTGCTGCCATGGGACCTGCCACGGCTTTGGCAATTCCCTGGAAGAGGGACAAGCCAGAGAGCACACGTGTGCCCACAAGCACGTGTGTCTGAGCTAGCTCCCAGTCACTCTTGTTCTGCTCCAGGGCCCTGGCACTCACTGCCAGCCGCAGGTGCTGCTCCTCTGGGGCTGAACGCTCTGTTTTGGGTGTTTCAGCCAGCGCTGAGCCTTCCTCACCTTCCCGGTGCCAGCACAGTGGGGAAGGCCGCTCCGAGGGGAAGCGTGTGCGTGTTCCTGTGCTGATGGGACCATTTGTGTGTGTGCCAGTCCCACCAGTGACACCGAGAGCTTCTGGTGGTGCTGATGAGGTGCTTGATGGGATCCCCATGTGCGGTGCTGGGGCTGTTGCACAGCCTGACCTGCCCTCAGCACCGCTGTCACCACTGCTGTCACCGTGCCACTGTCGCTTGTGCCACCACAGCCGAGCCCCAGCTGAGCTTTGCAGGGCCCTAATCCCATTTCCCTTGTGTCTCTTTCATCTCCAGTCGGACCAGGAGAGTGGTAATAGACCTTCTTACTAAATTAAATGTGCACGCTGCTCCTCAAGGCACGGTGCGGCTCAACCTTAGTTGATCCCCCAGCCACAGCAGTATGGTGCCTCCGGGGAAAAAGCCAGCTGGGGAAACTTCCAATTCCAATAAAAAGTGCAAGCGCTATTTCAATGAGCACTGGAAGGAGGAATTTACCTGGCTGGAGTTTGACTATGAGAGGAAGCTCATGTTTTGCACAGAGTGCCGGCAGGCGCTGGTGAAGAACAAGCACGGTAAGGCGGAGAACGCCTTCACCGTGGGCACGGACAACTTCCAGCGCCACGCGCTGCTGCGGCACGTCACCTCCGGGGCGCACCGCCAGGCGCTGGCCGTCAACCGCGAGCAGCTGGCCTTCGACACGCGTGTCCACGGCCACCCCGAGCTGCGCCCGCTCATCAAGGTGGAGGTGAACCCCGCCAAGGTGGCCGTCCTCACCACGGTCTACTGGATGGCCAAGGAGGAGATCGCGGATGAGAAGTGCTCCTCCCTGCTCAGCTTCCAGAAGTTCAACCTGTGCCAGGCGCTGCTGGCCTCGGAGCACAGCGAGTTCTACCAGCCTGGCAGCGTCAGGGAGATGCAGGTGTGTACGGGGGGCTGGGGGGTTGCACTTAGGTGGGCACTGCGCCCGGCAGGGCAGGGACGGTGCCCGCGCCCACCCAGCTCCCCCAGCCTGCCCGGCTGCTTTGCAGGATGGAAGCTGATTGTCTCACGAGTTCAATTAGCACTGTGGGTTTTGCGTCTTTTGCCCTAAAGTAAGTGACCAGAAAGATCAAGTAGCCGGAGAGTTTGAGAGGGATTTCTGATTTTTACGAACGCTTCATGCCTGCTAAAATCAAATTAAATTTTTAGTGAGTCTTGGCCGTTTGCCAGGCTTTCCAGCTCTCTGCAGAGCCTTATTTTGCTACTGATAGACTAAACCCACTAATTAGGTTTCCCAGCCTGTGGTGATCCTTGCAGCACTCACACACACAGAGGAAGTTTTCCCTCCGAACTGGGGAGTTTGCCTGAAATGGGGTGAATGTGAGTAAATGAGTAGAGATGGAAAAAATGTTGCCATTTTGCTGCTGCTCTTGCCCCTGCTGGGCCAGTGAAGTGGAGCTGCTGGAGTTGAAAGGGGCAGGTGGGTTCCTGGTGTCCTGCCTCACTGCCAGCATAGGTGGGAGCTTGGGAATGGGATGTTGGGGGCTTGAGGGGTCAGTGCTGCTGGTGGTGCTGTGTCCTGCTGCATCTGTGGGGCTCTGTCCCCAAGCTCAGAACAGGAACCCCCAAGCTTTCAGCAGCTTCCCATGGTGCTTGAGCTGCCAAACAGGAGCAGGAGAAAGCTTATTACGGAAAAAGAAACTGATTTCCAGCCTCTTGTAAGGGCTTTTCCCTGGCTCGGGGCTCCTGCGCTGCAGGAGCCCGTGGGTGGGAGCCCACCCGCTCACTCTGTGCCAAGTGCTGCTCATCTCCCACTGCCTCTGAATCTCATTTGTGTTTCTCTCTCCCTCCCTGCACCCCTCCTTCAACTGGCCCAGGCAGCCATTGCCAAAGTCCTCCACAACGAGGACAGGCACAGGATCAAAGCCTCGCCGTTCATTGGGCTGGTGGTGGACGAGACAGTGGACGTCCTGGAGCACCGCAGCCTCGCCGTGTTCACCACCACTGTCTCCCCCTGCAACGGGCAGACCTCCACCACCTTCCTGGGCAGCTTCGAGCTGCCTGCCGGGGAGGCCTCCACTGTGGCAGGCAAGGTGGGCGAGGTGATGCGCTCCTTTGGCATCCCCACCATGAAGCTCACCTGGCTCAGCGCCGACAGCGCCTCGCTGGTGGCCGAGCGGCTGAGCGGGGTGGGGACGGCGCTGACCTCGCTCTGCCCGCTCCTCACTGAGGTGCACTGCCTGTCCCACGGCACCTCCCTGCTGCTGGCTGAGAGCATCAGCACCATTGAGTACCTCCAGAAGTATGAGACCACTGTGGATGCTGTGTATAGGCTCTACTCCAGCTCCCAGGGGGAAGGGAGTAGCCTGCAGGAGCTGCGGAGAGTCCTGGACCTCTGTGAGATAGACCTCGGGAGCCCCAAAGCCATCCACTGGACTTCAATCTTCCCAGCTGTAGAAGCCATTGACTCCTCATGGCCCACACTGGTGCTGCTGCTGGAGAGCCAGGCGGAGCGCTCACCCGTGGCCCGTGGCCTCTGTGAAGAGCTCAAGAAGTTCCAGTTTGTGGCCTTCACCAAGATCCTCCTGGATGTCCTCCCCATCTTCCAGAAGCTCAGTCGTTTCTTCCAGATCGAGGATTTTGACCTCTCCATCTTGAAGCCCATAGTCTCAGCCACAGCCACCACTCTGCAGGCCCAGCAGAGCACCAGTGGCCAGAACCTCCGGGAGTTCCTCAGTGAGATGAACAAGCACCCCCAGGACGCCCGGGAGGGCGAGAGCCGCCTCTACTACAAGGGTGTTGAGCTGGCCAACTGCTCCCAAGTGCACCTGAAACACTTTGAGCACCTGAAGGACAGCTACCTGGAGAGGGTGCGGGGCAACCTGCTGGACAGGTTCCCCAGCAGCGTCCTGGAGGCCATCAGCTCCTTCTCTGCCATCTTCAACCCCAAGTGCTACCCCCAGTCTCTGGAGGACATCGGCAGCTATGGGGTCAGCGAGCTGAACTTCCTGCTGCGGGTGTACTCACGGGTGGTGGTGAGCGAGAGGGCCCTGAGCGACTTCCCCCTCTTCAAGCGCATCGTCTTCAGCCTCAGCCAGCTCTCCTTCAAGGACCTCTGTGTCAAGCTGGTCTACAGCAGCTCCGAGATGCACGAGCTCTTCCCGGACTTCGCCGTGCTGGCAGCTATTGCGCTGGCCTTGCCGCTGGGCTCGGCCCTTGCCGAGAAGATCAGCCGGGGCCGGGAGCTGCTGAGGCGCGGCCGGTCGCGGCCTGCCAAGGCCGAGGCGCTCTCTGACCTCATGAAGATCGCCCTGGACGGGCCGGCCATCAGCGAGTTCAACTTCGCCTTGGCCATCGAGTACTATGAGAGCATGAGGGAGCCCGGGTTCATCGTGGCGCCGGTGAAGTGAGCGTGGCTGGTGTGGCTCCTGGGGCAGGAGCCGGGGCCTGCGGGCAGCCCCCAGGGCCACAGCGCTGCCTTTCCACATCACCGGTCACTGCTGGGCAGCTGCAGGGCATGGTGACCTCTCTGTGCTGGGAAGAGAAACAGGATCCTTTGCAAAGCCATGCTGGTCCCGTGACCATCCCTCCCTCATGCCCCAAACCTCTCTTTGAATAGCCCAGAATTCAGAGTCCTGGGGCCACCTGAGCTCCCAAATTGCCATGAGTTTTTTCCAAGGGTTTGTCATCATTTTGTTTTAGGGAGATGAAGGCAAAGCTCTTGAGCTCAAATGTCACGTTGCCTTTGCACAAAGATACCCAGCAGCTTTTGCTTAATGCTCTGCAAAAATATGGGATTTCTGCTACTCTGGAGCCTGGAGAGGGAATGCAGAAAAGGCAGCGCATCCTCCGAGCTCTGCGCCGACCCCAACATGCCTGGCGGTGTCGTGTTGGTGTTCCTTGCACACAGCACAGGGTATTTTTAGCAGTGGCATCAAGTCATGATCATTTCAAGAGCAAGAGATTTAGGGAATGATATTGTAATGGCTGAGGAAATGTAACTTTAAATGTATCATTGTGTACATATGTGTATGTGTGTATATATATAAATATACATATATAAATATCTATATTAAAAAGGTCTATCTTAATTTTCCTAAAGTTTAAAGATATCTAAAAGGACTTTTTTTTTTTTTTTTTGCAAGGACAGAATAAATTGTGAGCAGGGGTCCAATAACAATCAATAGCTAATTCTTATTCTTTCCAAAACATCCTCACGTCCCCAAGTTCCCTTTGCACCCTGAGCTCTTGGCAACCTGCAGTCTGGGAGAAAGTCCTTCAACACCAGCTTTTGGGGCCAGCTGGAGGTGTTCAGCTCATATTTCTGCTCTGAAGTGTTGCTCTCTGTCCCGAGGTGAGCAGAGCTGTTGGTGCCTGCAGCAGCCTGGAGCTCGGGCCCCTCTGCCCAGGGGTCTGGGGTGTTCCAGTGTGATGGGGCTTTGCTGGTTGTCACTTGGAGGGCTGTTTCCTTCACTTCAGACTGATTCTCATCAGCAATAAACCCCGTGCAGCAGCATGAAGCATTACCTCAGTTGAATCCTGAGTGCCAGGTCCTCTGCTGGGGCTGCCAAAAGCTGGAAATGGGAGGATGTAGCAGATCTGCTGCCCCACACTCCAGCTCTGGTTGCTCTGGGAGTCCAGTGCAGTGCAATCTGTTTGTTACTAATCCAGATCCCAGAGGTGCTGGGGCTGCACTGGTGCTGCCGTCGTGGTCCAGTGTTGTGACTGGGGGTTGCTGTTCTTCTCTGGCCACCAGCCTTTGGCACTGGGGAGCCTCCTGGAAACATGCTTGGCCAGAGACAAAACCTTTAAAGCCCTGGGTAAGGATTTGGAGACACCATCAAAATTTGCCGAGAACATCTCCCAAGCAGGAGGGAGCCTCTGTGTGAATAAACAGCTCCATCTCCATCTGGCCTGGGCAGACTCTGCACCAGATGCTCACTGAGGCGGCGGCGTCTGCAGGGATGGGTCCTTGGCAGGCTCGTGTTGGTATGAGAACCTGCAGCCTTCAGAAGCGGCTCTGGGAGGTTCACACAGGCAGGTGACAGAGCACAACAGTTGCTCTGCTCTGCCTCACAGGGAGCAGGAGAAAAACCTGCTGCAGGTGTGTGTTCAGTGGCTGTGTAGGGTGAAGGGGTGGGGACAGGCTGGGGGGGACGGCCAGGCACAGTCTGGGTGAGTTTGGTTAAATGTAGGGCTGAAAATTCCTTTAAATTCTGAGGGATCCCTACAAAAGTCACTTGTGTGTGGGACAGGACCTGGGCTGAGCTCCAGAGGGCTGGGAAGGGGCTGAGCCCCAAGCAGGGGACACGCAGCACCACATCAGGGACATGGTGGCTTTGACACCGCTTGGTCAGGCCTGGGCTGTACCTGTGGAACTGGGGGGGCACAGAGACAACCCCCCCAAACTGCAGCAGGTGCTCATGCCAGGAGCACGTGGCTCCTGTGCTCCTCTCCTTGCAGCAGCCCCTTGGAATGCTCTGCAGGAGCACATCCTGTCCCAGGAGGACCCACAGTGCCAGAGCAGCAGCGTTCTCTGTGGAGGTGGGGGATCCTCTGCCAAAACGGGGGGGGACAGAGCAGGGGCTGTGACAAAAAGCTGAACCACTGGGGGCCTGTTCACCCACCTGCTGCTGGCCATGCCTGTCACCTTGCCTAAGGTCGTGTCATTCTATACAGACCTGGGACCCTGCCACTCGCCCAAAAGCAAATCTCCTTAATTGAGTGTCTAATGAATACCTAAAAATACTGCCCTCAGCTGCTGCTGGAATCTGCCCTGCAGCAAAGGTAAGGCAGGACCCACAATGCCATAGCCCTGTAACCTTGGGAAGGTGCCTCAAGAGCATCCTGTGGGCGCCCCAGCAGGGTGTTGTGACATGCTGGGGTGGCCTCAGCCCTCTCCCTGCTCCTTAGGGTCCTGTCTGCTTCAGGAACAAAGCCAAGTGAGAAAAACCTGCCCATCTGCAGGGTCTCACAGGGTTTCTGAGCTCTCTCTAACTGCCTGGTTTATCCCAGTCCAGAAGGTGTTTAATCCACAAATTTGAGCTCAGGGGTGTGCCAAAGAGGCTGACATATCTTCTCACCCCCTTGGTGGGCAGCAGCTGCTGCAGGTAGTGGCTGATCCTGGGAGTCTGTGTCCCCTCAGCACTCGTCCTGTGCCTGCCCAGTGCAGGAGCTGCTCCCCAGGGACTGAATCCTTCAGCCCAAGCATTAGCTGAGCTGCAGCACCCCTTCTTGTAGTCACTGATTTTGGGGGTGAGGTGATCGCCCACCTCTTGTTCCTCCCATATGTGTATATATATATATAAAACCCATATATATATAAAAAATATATATAAAACGTAAATATATAACATACATATATTCCATACCTATATATGTATGTATGTATATGTATGTATATAGGGTGTGCCAAAGAGGCTGACGTATCTTCTCAGTACCCTTGGTGGGCAGCAGCTGCTGCAGGTAGTGGCTGATCCTGGGAGTCTGTGTCCCCTCAGCACTCGTCCTGTGCCTGCCCAGTGCAGGAGCTGCTCCCCAGGGACTGAATCCTTCAGCCCAAGCATTAGCTGAGCTGCAGCACCCCTTCTTGTAGTCACTGATTTTGGGGGTGAGGTGATCGCCCACCTCTTGTTCCTCCCATATGTGTATATATATATATAAAACCCATATATATATAAAAAATATATATAAAACGTAAATATATAACATACATATATTCCATACCTATATATGTATGTATGTATATGTATGTATATTATAGATGAGTATAGGTATATATAGGTACATGTATGTGTATGTGTATGTATATGTATATTATATATATGTATATTTTAAATATATATATGTATATCTATATATTAAAATATATTAAATATATAACTATATTAAATATATAAATACAAAAAAGTGTGTGTAGAGATAGATATATAGACATAGATATAGATATAAATATAGATATAGATATATGTGTGTCTATATATATATATTTTTTGTTTTTAAGGCCAGTGCAAAGCACCCTGGCTGTGATGAGTTGCACCCCTCATCATCCAGCCCCAAATGCCTTTGCTGCTCTCTGTGGGGCCCCGGCTGTGTGTGCTGGGGGGTCCCAGGGCAGCTCCTCTGGCGCCAGCCCGGCCGTCTCAAATGATTTGATGTAGAAACGCTGTTTCACGCCTCAGAAGGTTAATTATGCACCCCTCACCCAGTGCTGCTCGCTGCTGCTGCTGCTGCGATGTTATTTATTTATTTTTGAGCGGTTTCGCAGATTTCCCTTCTGGGCGACTCTGGAATTAACTCGATCAGTGCACGCCTGATGAAGCAAACTGTAATTCCTCCCCGGAGTCAGGCCTGGCTCGGGGATGCTCCGGTGCCGTGGCAGAGCCTCCACGTGCGCTCGCCCAGAAAGAGGTCGTTGGTGCCCGTGGGGCTGGCGACGAGCACTGGCTGCTCAAATCCAGGGAATCTCTCAAACTTTGAATTTCAGATGCGTGTCTCAGGTCCTGCAGCAGCTGGGATTGGCATGGGGTGGGTGCAGAGCAGAGTGAGGAGCAGCACCAGCCTGGTTCTGGGTGTGGGGCTGGAGGGGGGCTCAGGCTCGGTGCTGTCACAGGAGGTGCTGGTGGAGGGTGTTTCTGCTGTGGCAGTGGGTGCTGGCCAGTCAGCCTCCCACAAGGGTTTTCTCGGGTCCAGGGGGGTGGTGGGATGGGGTTGTGGTGTGCTGGGTCAAGGGATCCATGATGCCTTTGAGGGGGAAAAGAACCCAAGCCTCAAAAAAACCCCAAAGGAATGAGGAACGTTGACCTTGTCCTTGCTGCAGGAAACGGGACGGGGCTGTGGGTGGGTTGCAGGGGTGTGAGCCTGTGTGGGATGTGGATGGGCTCTTCTGGATCACAGCACTCTGAAACCATTTCTTATTTATTGTGTCTGATTAGTTCATTTATTTTATTTTATCTTTCTCCCCTCCTTGCTGCCAGAGCTGGGCAGGGACTCCCTCTGCCACTTGGGGGATGCTTCCCTGTGCTCATCATCTGTGATGAGCATGAGCTGGGATGGGGAGCAGGCTGGAGACAGATCTCTGCTTGGCCTCCCTTCCTTCCTTCCCTCTGTCCCACGGGTGTTTTCTGTTGAAACAGAACATTATTAATAACTCCAGGCTATTTTTAAATCTCACGCTGGAGCGCGTGGTTCATTTGCGGGGGACGGGGAGTGGTGGCTGTGCTGCAGGAGTGGGGGCAGCTCTGCCTCTGTCCCCAGCCCTTTGGCAGCCAAAACCTCACCAGCCGTGGTGAAGAGCTGGTGGTGCTGGTTTGGAGGAGCCCTGGGAAGGGGCTGCTTCCCTGGGGGAGGTTGGGACACCTTTTGAGGCTTTGGACTCCTGCGCGTGTCCACGCTGGGATGCGGCTGGAATTGGGGTGCTGGTTTGGAGCCTGGAAGGCAAAGGGGTGCCCACAACCACCCTGGGCTGGGGCCTCTCCCCGTGGGGGTTCTGTATCCATGGCAGATGTCCCTTGTGCGTGTCTGGTGTGCTCTGCCCTCCTGCTGCCAGCAGGGATCAGCAGTGCTGACGCTGCTCTCTCCCTCTGCCTGCCCAGGTCCCTCCGGACACAGCAGCCCCCTCTTAGCGTCGCTGCCCATCCCTGGCCGTCCTCTTCATCCTCCCTTGGACATCAAGCACTTTCTGACCTTCAGGCTCAACGGGACATCACCGCTCAACCTCTTCCCCAACTTCAACACGGTGAGTCCCCAGGAAGGATGGGCATGGGCTGCTGGATCCCTCCTCCCCTACAGCAGTCCTTTCTCTGCATGGCACCACCAGGTAGCTTCTGGTTTAATTCCTGGGGTCTGTGGCTGCTGGATGCCAGTGCAACATGCCCACTTTGCCCTTAGCTCGGAGAGGTTCCTGCCCAGCCAGTGCCTGTCAGTAGTAGAATTAAAAACATGGTTCATTTTAACCAAGATCAATTGGATTTTGCCCCTGGAATCAATAGTAATAAAGTAGCTCTGGAGAGCAGTTCATTAGTTGAAAATTAAATAAGGAAAAGAAAAGAAAGAGAATGTACTACAGATATGAGGGATGTGGCTGGTGCTGTGGATGTTGGG